AGACAAATCCTGTCACCTCATTTCCACCTCTGAACCTAGTCATTACGGAGCTAGAAAACCTCCTCTAGCGCTCACTCTCCCCAACTATAGGGTTTCACATCCTCTAGACCACTACAGTGGAGATCCAGCAAACCAAAAATAACTCAGCTTTTCCTCCAAATAACCTCAAGGGTAAACTCAACTGGTGGAAATCCCACAAGCCAAGTAACTCTATAAAGAAAATGGAAATTACTCGTCTCCTGACATTCACCCCCTCCTCATCTGTTTAGGCAACTCTGGCTTCGAACCAGAGCCACTAGGGTTAATGTGGCTTTTGTCGTGGAATTGTCAGAGCTTGGGGGGAAACTTGACAATTCCAATTCTTAAGGATCTTATCAGATCCTTCACCCCCACCATCCTCCTCCTCTTGGAAACCAAAAATAACTCTGATATTGTCTCTAGAAGACTTCTTCGGTCGGGTTTTGATAAAGATTTTTCTGTGGACCCAATTGGACAATTAGGAAGTTTGGCACTTGCTTGGACAGATGAGATTAATATCATCATTGTTAACCACATGGAGAGGTATATTGACTCTATCATCATGGAATATTATACAAATGCTAAGTGATGAGCTTCCTTTGTTTACGGTGACCCAAAAGCTCATCGTAGATGGATGGTATGGGAGTTGCTCCAGAGTATCTATTGCATCCAACTCCCTCCCTGGCTCCTAATAGGGGATTTTAATGAAATCTATTCTATTCATGAGAAAGTAGGAGGCAGGCATTGTTACTATAGCACCTCAACTGACTTTAAACACTTCATAGATGACTGACTGCCAGCTATGTGAACTGGGATGGAAAGGTTCGTCCTTCACTTGGTCCAAAAACAGATGGGCTCTAGAAACATTAAAGAAAGGTTGGATAGATGCCTTGCTTCAGATCTTGGTTAGAAAATTTTCCAGAAGCCATTGTCCTAAATGAGCTTCTCTTGGGATCAGACCATTGTCCTGTCATCCTTGACACCAGCTAGAAAGTTTGGAAGGACACCAGGCCCTTTCGCTTTGAATCCATGTGGCTAATTTATTCAGGTTGCAGACCAATGATCCAAGGCTCCTGGCAGAAACAACTCAACTACCCCTATATGAGACTATACAAGTATGCAAGAAGCTGAATCGTAGTAAGGACCTAAAATCTTGGAACAGGTCTAGTTTTGGCTTTGTTTATAGCAAAATTAGAAGCCTCAAGAAGATGCTCATTGACCTCCAGATGGCCCCTTGCACTGAAAATAACTTAAATGTTGAGCGTTCTATTCACCTCACCTTGGAGTCAGAAATGAATCAGGAAGAAATCCTTTGGCAGCAAAAGTCCAGAATACAATGGCTTAAGGATGGGGACAGGAATACTCTTTTCTTCCACCAAACCACCATTAACAAGTGTCGATCCAATAGAATTTACAAACTCATGGACTCAGAAGGAAATTGGCTTTCCACCCCTCAAGAAATCGAGCACCATGTCATCAATTTCTATGCCTCCATCTATCAATCGACCTCTCCTACATCCAACGCTTTTGATCTCTCCTTTATTCAGAAGATGGTAACCCCATAAATGAACAAAAGCATTCTATTGCCCTTATCCCCGGAAGAAATCAAAAACTCCTTCTCCATTGGCCCTTTAAAGTCCCTTGGCCCAGATGGCTTTCCAACTCTATTTTATCAGAAAATTTGGGACATTGTGGGTCCTAAAGTGACAACAACAATTCAAAAGGTCTTCAACAATGCTTCAATCCCAAAAGAAATGAATGCCACCTACTTGGTTTTGATTCCAAAGTGCAAGAATTCCTGTGAGATTTGCTAATTCCGCCCAATCAGTCTCACCAATTTCCTTTACAGAGCCCTCGAAAAATGCATTGTTGCTAGAATCAAACCTTTGTTGCCTATTACAGTAGACCACTCTCAAAATGCTTTTGTAGAAGGTAAGACTTGTTTCAGATAATGTTCTTATGGCTCACGAAGTCTTTCACTTTCTGTAGAATAGAAAGAAAAGGAGAAAATTCTTCATAGCAATTAAGTTGGACATCCACAAGGTCTTTGATCAACTAAAATGGAATTTTCTTATTACTACCTCCACTGTATGGGGTTTGACGATAGATGGATAAATCTCATCTTCAAATGCATCTCGACAACTGAGTTTTCAGTCCTAATCAATAGATTTGTTCATGGCAAGTTCAGACCCTCTAGGGGAATTAGGCAAGAGGACCCCCTCTCCCCTTTTCTCTTCAACTTATCCATACAAGCCTTGGTCTAATTAACAAAGCAACAAGCAGGGGAGATCTGAAAGGCATCAAAATCAAGCGCTAGGCCCCTACTCTCACTCATTTGATGTTCGCCGATGATTGTTTACTATTTCTAGAGGCTGACATCCAAGCTTGTCACCCCCTTAAGGCAAACTTTGACCCTCTTTAGTCAGTGATCTGGCCTTGACATAAACTACCACAAATCCGAGCTCCACTTCAGTGCAAACACTCCAAGACAGATTAAAAGAATTATATCCCATCTCCTGCAAGCCCCTACTACTGAAGCCCCTTCCAAATATCTTGGTCTTCCTTTTCATATTAATGCCCCAAAACTAGAAGTTGCAGCCGCCATGATAGAAAAGACTCAAACTCATCTTCAAGGTTGGAAAAGGAAGCTTCTCGGCCACTCTGCTCAAGAGGTCTTGGTCAAGCCAATGGTTGTGGCAAGCCCCACCTATGCAATGATCCATTTCCTCCTCCCTATCACAGTGAGCAATCAAATTGACAAACATTGTGCAAGATTTATTTGGGGAGGAGACAGAGGAAGCAAGAAAATTCATTGGGTCGGGAGGTTTAGGTTTCAAACTAATGCACCTCTTCAACTTGGCACTCCTTGCAAAGACAACTTGGTGCCTCCTTTCTCTGATATGGACTCCCCCTGAGCTAAGCTCTTAAAAGGTATCTACTTTCCCAATGTTCCATTTAAAAATGCAACTGTGGGTCATTGTGCTTCGTGGGCTTGGTTCAACATTATTGTAGGCAAAACTCTCATTGAGAAGGGGCTGATTTGGAGAGTGGGCAATGGAACCTCCATCAAAATCTGGGAAGACAATTGGGTCCGCAGTCTCCCAGCAAGCAGGCCCTATTCCCCTCCCCCTATGAATGCAAGTGTTACTTGGGTAGTTGATCTCATGTTAAACTCTCTGTGTCACTGGAATCGATGGATGCTTATTAATCTTTTTGGAGAAGAAGAGATGAATGTTATCCTCAAAATCCCCCTCTGTGATGATGATGTGGAAGATCATCTTATTTGGCGATACGGTGATGATGGTATCTATTCCGTCAAATTTGGTTATACTCTGGCTTACCAAGAAGAGTTCCCCATCTCTACTCCCCAACCAAGTATTTAGAGCTCAATTTGGAAATTGAAAGTGCCCCCAAAGGTTAAGCTTTTACTTTGGAGATGCTGCAACAATGCTCTTCCTATTAGTACCCAGCTCTCCCGTAGAGGAGTCACGGTGGATGATTACTGTCCTAGGTGTGAAGGGATCCTAGAGGACCTAAATCAGCTCCTCTTCCTTTATCCTTTTGTCAGAGCCATATAGATGATTGGCCCATTCCCAGCTAAATCGGACCAGCTTGCCACCTCCGATCTCAAAGATTGGATCTCCTCCTGGACTTCTTCGACCTCCCTCTATGGTGAAGACAAAGCTACCTAGATGACCTCTCAAGCTATCACCTGTTGGTACCTCTGGAAAGCCAGAAATGCTCTAGTTTTTAAGAATCTGACTTAGTCCCCGATTTCAACGATCTCCAAAATTTCTTCAACCTTGGGGAGCTTACAAGGGGCCCATATCCTACCCCCACAACAGTTAGCCCTCCCTCCTGACAGCCATCTCTAGAAGGTTGCATTAAGATAAATTGTGGTGTAGCTTTCCTGTTGCAAGATGGATCCGTAGGTGTTGCGGCCATAGCCAGAGACCATTATGGTAATGTACAAGAATACAAGGGTAAACACTTATTGACCAACGTTGTTTTGGATGCCAAGGCCTAGGCGATTAACACTGGTTGCAACCTAGCACTCCAAATGAAATCCACTTCAGTCATCTTCGAGCCGGATATGAAATTAGTAATTGAAGAAATCTCCTCCTCGAGAAGTGTTGCTTGCTCTCCCAGAAGCTCCATTCTAAATGCCATTTCTCGAAAGTGCTCCTCTTTTCAACACACTTCATTTTGTTTCAATCCTAGAACCACGAGCAGACTGGCTCACCTTTGTGATAAAAAGGCTCATGAGAAGCATTTTGTTTTTTCTCTGGTTTTGAGGCCTCATGTTGGTTGTTTAATTACCCAGAATTTGCTTGTAATACTTTTCGCCCACCTTGAGGGACCTCTCTGTATTTTGGCTTCTTTGGAATAAATTTCTCTATTACCAAAAAAAGTAAAACTATGTGTAAGGAAACATTTCTTGGTTAAAGGATAAAGAGACAAGAGCAATGTTTAGAAAACTGAAAATCAAATCGAACTAGCCAGTCGAACCAATTAAATTGTGACTCGGGGACCTTGGCCAGTTTGGTCATACCCTAATAACCGGTTAACCGACCAATTTAACCAGAAAACCGATGAACTAGTCTCAGTTTCATGAAACTTCCCAGGTCCTTAAACAATTGAAATTTTAAAATGTGATTAACAAGACTTAAACCCATAACCTCTTGTTTTTATATATTGCTTAATTACCACTAATCCACCTCTTTACATTGTTAATTAATGACTTTTTATTGTACATATTACTTTATTACACTCACATTTTAAAGAAAATATAAGTTATGAGACTTGAACCTTAGTCATTTTCTTTAAAAATTAAAGAACTTTCCATCCATCCACCATATTTAAACATATTAAAAAGTGTAAAATATATTATGTATAGTATTTATATGACTCGTAGTATATATACATATATGTACATATATATGCCACATCATCACAATTTGACCTCTGGTTCAATCCCGATTAAACCTCTAACCCATGAACCTCTCCCTTATTTCGTTCTATGCCTGGTCCAATTCTCTAAACATTGGACAAGAGTCCTCAAGAGTTTTGCCTTTCTAGCCATTACATGAGCTACTTGCACTTCTTTTCTATTTACATATATAGTCTTGATAGTAATGGAAAAATTTGTTAGATGCTTGATGTGCTCCACTAAGGTTTGGATATTTTGAGGGAGATGAGTTTTCTTAAGCCTCTTACAATTGCCCATAGTTCAGATTCTGTTGTTGAACTGACAAAGCTAGGCTGTCCTTCTGCAATGCAAATATTGTTGTCATGAGAATAAAGGAGAAGACCAAATGAAGCATAGTGTGTGTTGGTGTAATAAGATCCATCAACTAAAACAAATGACTGTTGTGAGGAGGGTATCCAAAGAAAATCGTTTGAGGTTGTGTCACTATTTGGCTCAGCCTAGATTGTGTGAAGATCAGGTAGTTCATGGTAAATATTTGCTTTTCTACAAACATCTAAGGGGTTGGGCTTCTTTCCTTTGAAAGCTGCCTCATTTCTTTCATCCCAAATGGCTCAAAGAATGGTTGCAATCTTGGCAAAATAGATGTTATTTGTTTGTTTGGGGACGATGTTATTGACTATGCACTAGTTCAGCATCTCTAGAGTATTTGCTCCTTTGAGTTCTTCAGGTAATATTCCAACTTGTTCCTGCAGCCAACTTGTTCTTGTAAAGTTGCAGTAATGAAGAGATGGAGCTGAGTTTTCAGTGTAGAATTATAGAATGTGCAAACTATTATGTCGTCCATGTCTCAGGCTCCAGATTGAGTTTTTTGTTTTAACTGTATTGAGATAATACTTCCAGAGAAACACTTGGCATCAATGAGGTACTTGGAGTTTCCTCAAATTTGCATCCATTTTATAGGGGGGCTATAGGAGGGTTGTTGATAATGGTTGGAATGAACAGAGAAGCTCTCATTGACTGAACTCTTCCAAAGAAGCTTATCAAGTGTGGCTTGGGGTGGGAGGGGTATCTGGGTAATCATATTAACACTTTCTTCATCGAAGAAATTGTTTAGAAGGCCCTTGTTCAGTGTTCTTTGGGCTGAGGTGAAGTTATGGACAGTGAGGTTGTGAACGAAGGTTGGGGTTGCATGTCCATTTTTTGGGGTGGGTTTATAATTCGGGGTCCAAGGGATCCATGGATCCAAGAAAGCATTAATTTTCTTTCCATCTCCAACTTGCCGACACAATTGGAATTTCAAAACTTCCTTCAGTTTTAGCATGCTTTTCCACTACCAAGAGTCTAAACTTTTTGGTTTGCACTTGAAGAAATGATTGTTCTTTAAATATTTTATTTTTAGTTGTTTGATCCAAAGTTCCTCTTCTGAGCAATTCTGAGTCCCAGGTCACCCCCAAAGAAATGTTGTGTCCATTCTTCTTATTTGTGTCACCTACCACCAAAAGTTTTTACGCATTGTCTTTAGGGCGTTGAGAATTTTTTTTTTAGGAAAGAGGCTTGTAAGCATTAGTTAGGAAGGTAAGCTCTGAGCTACCGTCTTTTTGAGGGTTGTTCTTTTGGCTTGGGAAAGCACCTTTGCTTGCCAACTTTCCATTTTTTTCCTCAAATTTTTTATTTATCTCATTGCATACTGCAGATTTTTCTTTTCTTATAAGAGCCAAGTACCCAAGTATTTTTATTGGTGGTTCATTATTTTCATCTCGAGAAGTTTATAAAGGAGTTTTTTGGTGAACTCTATGGGTATTCTTGCTGAAGATAATCCCTAACTTTTTGAAATTTATTTTCTACTCTACCTTCTTCTCATATAGTTTCAAGGCTCTTTTGACAACTAAAAAGGAATCAACATTTGTTTTTTTGAGGATCAAACAATCATTCGCAAAGAAAAGATGTGTTAAAGGTTGTACTTCTTTCAATAGTTTCAGCCCTTTTAGATCCCTTGTTGTTCTACCTTGTTCAAGAGGCTTGATAGAACCTACATTCCAATTATAAACAAGTATAGAGAGATAGGGTCTCCTTTCCTGAGTCCCCTTTCAGTGGTGAAAAGTTATGTTGGGGATCCATTTAGCTTAATTGAAAAGGATGTTGTAGTGATACATTGTTGTAAAAGAGAGCACCAATCTCCTTGAAAGTCCATTCTTCTCATTGTTTCTAAAATAAACTCCCATCCCAATTGGTCAAAAGCCTTAACCATATCTGTTTTGAGTGCTGCCCACCTTTGTTTGCCTTTTTGGATTTTAATTTGTTAATGATCTCCTTGGCCAGAATGGCATTGCCAACAATATGTTACCCCTGTATAAAAGTTGCTTGGTTTGGTTGAACCAGATTTGGTAACAAGGGTTTAAAGTTTATTGGCTAAAACTTTGGTTATTATTTTGTATAGAACATTGTAGAGACTAGTTAACCTATAGTGCTTTACGGATTTAGCTCCCTACTTCTTTGGTATGAAAACTAGGTTAATGTAATTTAGTTCCTTTAAAAAATTTTTGCTTTTGAAGAAGTTTTGGACAACTAATGTTACATCTGGGCCCACAATGTGAATGTGCCAGTATTTTGGAAGAAGAAAGGTGAGAAACCATTTAGGCTAAGGGCTTTGTGAGGGTTCATGGAGAAGGTGGCCTGCTTGACTTCATCCTCTTTGGATAGAATCAAAAGAGATTTTTTTTTTCTTCCTATGTGATTGAAGGAAGTTGAAGGCCACCTAAAAATTCTAGTGAGAATTGCTCTTCCACCCCACTAACCTTGAGAATTTGATTTTTTAGACAACTTATAATTTCTCTTCTTTCTGTAACCCAGTTCTGATTGCTTCGCTTTAACCATTTTGTTGAACTCCACCTTCTTCAAGATTTGGTCTAGAGATGGAAAATCTAGTGTTGTCTCCATCTTTTAGCCACAATTCCCTTGATTTTAGTCTCCATAGCAATTCCTTAAATTTTAGCCAGTGATTCAACTGTTCATGCAACTCTTTGACCTTTTGCTTTTGATCTTCCGAAGGGGATTGATTCTATTCCAAGGTTAATTTTTCTTCTAGGTCCTTTAGTTTGTGGCTTATATTGCCAAAACTGGTTTTGTACCATTCTGAAAGTTGGATTTTATTCCTCATAATTTATGCACAATAGAGAAAGCTCTTGAACCACTTACTTCCAATGACCAACTATCTAGAATGATTTGGTCACAGTCTTTATAGTTAGAATTAACTGTTAGATTTGTTGCTGATTTATCTAGTCTTTCTCTCACTCCTCTTTTTCTTGTTTGTCTATTCGTCCATGTGAAAAAAAATGACCTAAACTTCCTAGGTCGGTTAGAGAGAGGAAATCAAAGACCCCTTTCATACTATGAGAGACACAAGTTAAGGTGCTAGGTCCTTTGTACACGGCTAGATCAGTTATATCATTTAAATCCCCCGCTAGAAGCCAATGTTTATTATTGAGGTAACTCTTCTTAGAAATGAAGTTTTCTAGAAAGTAGCTCTATCTTCCCTTCCAGGGCAGCCATGGATATATAAGGACCAACTCCCAAAATTTGTTACATGGAGAGGTTCCAATTTCCAGTTCTATGAGTCTTTGAGAGCTATCAATTATGTTTACATCCAATCCATCTTTCTAGCAACATAGCATGCCACTTTTTATACCTTCAGCTTATATTGTTTGATAGTTGAAATAGTTTATTTATTTATTTTTTTTTTTGCTGAGTTTTTAGTTTCTGTCTTGATTTAATTTGGTTTCTGAGAGAAAGAGCATGCCAGGGTTAAATTTGTGGCATAGTCGTTTAATGGCACGTTGGGTGTCAAGCCCTCCTCCTCCTCTAACATTTCAAGAAATTATTTTCATGATAGTAACATTCCACAAGAAATAGTTTAAACGAGTATGGAATTTTTGATAAACAGAAATTACAAAGTTAAGAATTAACAAGTAACAAATCATAAGTACCTGGATGACAAGAGAGGCAATGGCAACAATCTATTGTTGTTATGAGGGTAGAGTTTCCCATTTCTTCCACCAGCTCAGATCTTCGAGGCTTGCAAAGAGGTCAACATTAGTTGCTTCTAGGTCAGTAATGGATGGTAGTCGGAAGGGCCAATGGTTCAGCGAGGGGTTAGAGGTTTGGTTTAATGGCTGTAGGAGATGGGAAGCTTTTTGTCAACATATCAGATTTCCCTCACGTCTCTGTCAAATATGCTTCTTTCACTTGAGTGATCCACTTTCTAATAGATTTTCTTTTTGCTTTCTTCCTTTCTTTCTAAGAGGTTCTATATTTGTTAAAGGTACCTCGCAAAGAGGACTGATGAGGCTTTATCCGAGTTAAAATAAAGTTGGTAGAGCTGCTTAGTCTGTTGGAAACTAGAAAGTGAGAGCTTTTAGTTTCTAAAATGTGAGAACTTAGCTTTGTGGAAGAAGAGGACTTAGCCTTTCGAAGGATGGGAACTTAGTTTTTTTGTAGCGTTTCCCACAGACGGCGCCAATTGATGAATCAATTTTTGGTGATGTATCAATTTTTTGTTCTAAGTACCTCGTCATTTGGTTTGCTTCCAAGTGGCCGATGACTCAGAGGCCGAAGTTAACTTCTGCTGGATGAGGACCTGGATGCCGAGCTAATTAGGCCGAGCTGGGGGCAGATTAGGTGCCGAGTTAATTGGGCCGAGCTGGGTAGGTTAGGTGGCGAATTGACTGAGCCGAGCTAGGCAGGTTAGGTGACGAGCTGGCTGGGCCGAGCTAGGCAGGTTAGGTGACGAACTGACTAGAGTGCTGAGCTGCCTATTTGGTGCTGAGCTGCCTATTAGTTGCCGAGCTGACTAGAGTGTCGAGCTGCCTGGTGGCGAGCTGGATTGATTGTTGGGCTTCGTAGTTCTTTAGAGACCTGCAAGGAATCAATGTCAGAGGACCTGGGGTGGCTAACCCGGCGAGGTCGCTCCGATGCTTAAGTCAGTACTCTCGTAGTAGACTGCAAGCTAAAAATCACAAAGTATGAGAGCTAGAATATGCTTACTTGCCCCCCTTATGCCATTGGGTTGGTGCCTTTTTATAGGCATTGTTTGGCATGGGCTTCACGCACCTTATCCGAGATTTCCAAGAAGTCGTCTAAGTGGTCCGAGATTCCCTAAGACAACCACCATACACGTTGACCACCCTCCGGATCATTCGGCATGTGGGCCAACTTCTAATGATCGTGAGAGTGTTAGGATATCCATGGCGAATTTGTCGGCGAGCACGTTTCGTAGGTCGCCAAGTCAGCACCTGGGCCAGGCCTTCAAGTTGGTGCTTGTGCCAGGCCGCTAGGTCGTGCCTGGGCCAGGCCACTAGGTCGGCGCTTGTGCTAGGTCACGCCTGGGCCAGGCCGCCAAGTCGGCGCCTGTGCCAGGCCACCAGGTCGCGCCTGGGCCAGGCCGCCAGGTCGGCGCCTGTGCCAGGCCACCAGGTCGCGCCTGGGCCAGGCCGCCAGGTCGGCGCCTGTGCTAGGCCGCCAGGTCACGCCTGTGCCAGGCCGCCAAGTCGGCGCCTATGCCAGGCCACCAGGTCGCGCCTGGGCCAGGCCGCCAGGTCGGCGCCTGTGCCAGGCTGCCAGGTGGGACACCATCAACTTGGCTAAGACAATTTATTGCCTAAGTGGTTCCGGGTGTCACCTAGTTGTTCCGAGGTGCCACGCGTCGCAATATCACTAGAGGGCCAAATCCACCTTCATCAGAAACCCTGATCCTCCTCTCGTATTCCTCTGCAAGTGGAAAGGCAATTTCTACCATTTTCTTTCTTCTTCATTTTCTTCCTCAGCGAGACCGAAAACCAAGAAAAAGACACCCCACGAACCTCTGAAGTTGGAGCCAATTCTGTCGATGAACACGTTTGCACACCAAAGCTGGATTTCGGGCAAGGGTGGGGAAACACAAAAATTATTCTAAAGATGGAGAAAGTTAAAAAACAATAAAATGAATAAATTAACAAAATAAAAGCAAGAGTATGAGGGAGAATGAGAATGAGAATAAGAATTAAGGGAAAATAAGTGGAGAGATGGAAAGGGGAGACGGAGCAGTGACATTGTTCTCGATGCTCGCGAAGCAGAGTAGATGTGTTACTTTGAAAACAAAAGGAATAGTTTTGAGAGAACTTATGTAAAATAATTGGCTGCCACTGTTCTTGTTGCTCCTTGTTGCTACTGATGACAAAATGAAGGAAATCTGCCGCTGCTCCTTGTTGCTCACCGCCGTAGATGAAGCCTTTTTGAGGAAGGAAATCCGGATGACAGCCGCCGGTCATCGTGATTCACCGTTGGTCGACGTTGGTCGTGGCTGCCAAAGGTCGTCGGTCGTGGCTGCCACAGGTCATCGGTCGCACCGTTGGAGTATGAGAAGGAAGGCCAGAACTAGAAGGGTTAGAAGTTAGAATGAAAATAACCCTAACTTGTAAGGGAGATTCGTGAGATATGAATGGAATTAAAAAAAAAGCAAACGAAAATAAATTTTGCCTATCCGCGAACTGCTGCCCGAGTCAAACAGTTTAACAATTTGACCGCCCGGGTCAGTGGTTCTTTGACTTTTCAACGGTTATTTCTAAATAACAGTTTAGAGTATAACCGGACCCAGGGGGTTGAATGGTTACCGGTTTTTTCGGTCCGATCATCCGGTCCAGTCCGGTTTTGAAAACCATGCCCTAGGATGAAGCTTTCCACTTTTTAGAAACGCTAGGTGCCCCTATCCTTTTTTGGAAGTTTCAAAACACTCCCCTTCTATAAAATGAGCCTTTTTGACTCCAAGAAAGCTAAAATTTTGAACCATGCAAGGAATCCCTCTCCCCTATTGATTCTAATTCAAACCAACCATTCTTGACACTCCCCCAACATCCCAAAAGATCCAAAAAAGGAAATCTCTCCCTCTCCTTCCTATTTGCATTCCAAAGCTCAAAACCAAAATATGCCCTATTCTTCTCTTCTCCTATTGTACTTTTTATTTTCTTCTTGGTTTTATTAGAAATAAAGCAAGAAAAAGAAGAAGAGCCCCCCTCTATTCTCAGTTCGTTGTTGGGAAGAAGAAGAAACTAGAAGAGGAAGAAGAAGGAGGAGAGGCAAGTCCAATTCAGCTCCTAGTTGTTTTGATGCCTCTCTCTACCATGCCTATGTTATTCTCTCTCTTATGTAGAATTGAATTGCTTCATTGGATAAATTTGCATCTCTTGTATTTAGTAGATTGTAGGAGTTAAGATTGATTCTCTAGAGACATCCACTAGTAGGAAGCATATGAGAGGACAAAAAAGGATTACGAGGAGATTTTCCAATTACTTTGCTCCTCTCTAGGGATTCCAAAAGGAGTGTCACTTGTAGAAAATCCCTTTCAATAAAAGAGACGGAGAGGAAATCTCTACCTCACTTTGTTTCAATGGGAAATTTTGAAAGGTTCATGACAGTCAATCTCCAATTCTTGTAATTCACTCTTGAACGCTGTCTTTTTTTTTGTGAAATTAGAAGGGTTTTTTTTTTTTTTCTAAGAGTGAGTGGGAATTGCATTCTATATAAATCAAGAGATAAGGGTGTCTAATACCTTCCCTCTCTCTCATTAGATGCCTAGAATTGCTAATTGGGTTGTGAGAGTCTATGTTTTTCGAGTTTTTAAGTATGGAAGGCCCATCACTCCCATGCTTTTTCCAATTGATAGGTGGCAGCTCCATAGGATTTCAGCTGTGATGTGAGCCTCAAATCAGTTGGGTGCTCATAAACGGTTTTGCTGGGTTTTGACCAGTTTTTCTGTTTTTTTCAGAAAAATGAAAACCAAGGGTTTAAAAAACTAAGTTCCCTTCTGATTCACAGGTTGAATGGTTTGATTGTCCGATCCGATAATTAAGCATTAAGGTAGCTAGAATATATATAGTTGGGTTGGGTTTCATCAATTCGGTTGACCTACACCAGTTTGCACCCCATAGATGAATCAATTTCTTGTCACTAGATCATAAACTATTGATTTTACTAATATTCTACTTTAAACCATTAATTGAAGATATAACTTGTACATATCCATGATTTCTAGGATAAAGGGACTACTTGTTATTGGAAGATCTAGAGTAAGTACTTTGATTTGATTTATAAGGCAATTTACCCAATCAAAGTGCCTAATATTTTACCCAATGTTGGTCCTTACATTGAAATGTAAATTCTTGTACATGAACCTAACAATTATTTTATTTTTCCTTGTAGGGATTCAGCAAAATCACAATGACTCAAAAGCTAATTGGATTGCGATGTTTAACAAAACATTTAATTAGACATGTTGAGATTTGATGTTCCAACTGAACACGATGATACACTTGATGCGACTCCTTTTGGGCGTTTCATTGAAATTCCACACATCATCTTGGAGAAGACATTAAAAGCAAATATGAAAAATCAAGTTATATTAGTTTCTCTTAATGTTTTAGAAAAGTTTACTACATAAAAGGCCAATTAAATTCTTAGTCTCTTGGAAATATCAAGTGAAATTCTTTTCTAATTATTCTAAATATAGCATCCCAAGTTTGTTATTTTTCTCGTTTCTCTTCCTAATGAATTTATTTTTTATTGGTCTTTTTGCATAAATCAACAGAGTGTTTGGTTCCGTGGGCGTTTATTCAATAAACGCTGCCACATAGGCACTGCTTCAGCAATTCCCCTCTCTTGTTCTTCCGTACGCAACGAGAATGACAAAAGTGGACTTCGGTTTTTGTGCATGCCTACCATTTGGAAAAGTTATTTTTGAAAGCTTCCACAAATGGTTAGGCGTTTTTTCACTATTACACTGATGTGGTGCCTAATGGTACCTAATTGTCATAAACGGTTGTAATTATTACCTTTCTTGGTTTTGCAAGCAAATAAAGTACAAACATTGAATGTAAAGACATAAACGGAACCAAAAACTTACCAAATTAATTAAGTTGTTTACTCCTAAATTGATTACTTGAATTATTTGAGAAATTTGCATTTTGAAACATGTAAAATGTTATTATTGTTAGTTGATTAGTTATTATTTTATTTAATGCTCAAACCTCAAATGCACAAACTTATTGCTTATAAACTTATTTTATGGATATTTATACCCTCTATCTTTCAAACTTGGTATATTATATGTTACTTTTATCAATTTACAAACTTTAATTAATTTTACTCTTTAAGTTTTGAAGCTTACACTACACCTTTTTGGGCCATTATGCCTCAACATGCCTTTTTGATGGAGGGGAGGTTTTTGTCTGATAACAAAATTTAATCACACTAGATAGGGTAGGGGAGGTCTCAGTTCAATTTGAAAAGAGAGGAGTTTTAACTTTCAAGTATTCAAGAGAAACCCCAAATGAGGTTGAAGTCTTTTCTTCAATCTTCAAACCAAAACGTTTTGACCTCTTTGATGGCATTCTGGAGTCTTGACGAGGTGACGAGTTATCGAAAACACAAAACAAGTAGAGGCAATATGATGGAAAACTCCAAAGGTCTGTCTTTTTATCGTCAATACTGTGAAGCATTGAAGGGCAACTTTGTAATTCAAGATGTTGGGGGAATCATCTGGGACACTTTTGTTTGGTTATATTTGGTTTGAGAAGAAAAGAGAAACAGAAAGTTGAGGAAAAGTTTTTCCCTTAACTATGTTTTGTAAAATTCCACAAGAACTTTTCTTCAACTTTGCTTATCTCTTATTTCTATCAAAACACAGGCCAAAGATGTCCACAAACCCTGGGGATTGTCTTTTTCTATGTAGTTTCATGTTTTATTTTATTGGGGATAAATAAGAAAATCATATATTATCACCTACCAGACTAGAGAACTCAATGGAATTTTATGATATGTAATGGAGATAATGAAATCCCCATTTACAAGTCATTCCTACAAAATAAATTAATCATATCTTACTATTACTACCTAAAAAACAACCAAAAGAGGAAAATTAAAAGAAGCAAAGGTTCTAAACTCATAATCACTAAAATCAAGTTTAAATGTTCTTGATTCTTGTTGAACACTACTTGGCAAAGCTTTGCAGTAAACATGTTCCAACACCATTTGGTACCTAAAAGAATTCTAAAAGTGATTAAAGTGATTTTTTTTTTTTTTGTTTTTACATTGACTGATAATCTTAATCTTCCAACTATTTCCCTTTTTTTTTCAGCAAAAAATCGCCGATTCCTTTTCATGCTACAGATCAATGTGCTGTACATTGGCTTTTTATTCTACTTATTTTGTTTTGACTCTAAATTTTGCTTGAGCCAATCTGTTTCACTCAGAAATTCTGATCCCAACTCCCAAGCAGTAAAAGGAGGAGAATGGTGAGACCAGAAAAATGAGCCGCTAGTCAATGATCAGATAGGGTACAAACATGTAATATCAAGACACTAATGGTACACTATACTGTTTCGAAAGCACTCCGCGCTAACCACCTTCAAAATTGCAAAATAAACACAGAAACCACAACTTCAATAGTAAAAAAAAAAAAAAGAAAAAGAAAAAGACATGATCACAACTTTAGTTATAATAAAGATAAATAAGAGGGAAGAGGCCTTTTTGCGATCTCTGCCAATGTCAACAAGGATTTAACAAACACTTGCAAGGTTCCAAGAAAGAATTTAATACACTCTATTTTCTGCACTTTTCATCTCCATGACTCCCATATCATAAAGAAAATTTACCTGTCAAGTCATAAAAGTAAATACACAAGAGAACAACCATAAGCATAGTTTCAAGAATTGAGTAATGAATATCAGAAATGTTGGATAACTTTGGTGGATTTACTGTTATGGACTGATGATAACTTTTTCAGATATTGCCTATTTATTTTTTTGGTAAGTAGGTGTTGACACAAAGGTGCTGCTTTCTCTCTCCTGCACATGTGCAGTCCCTTACCCTTGTTTAAAGGGACCGAATGTAACTGCTGCTACATTGACAGCCCACTAAATATTTCCTTCTCACTGGAAAAATCCAACTAACTACATACTTTATTTCCTTATCCCCCAAAGAAATGTCGTATTGCATCAAAATATTTTGGTTAAGAATACGTTCATGATTGTTACCGATTAAAAATGAAAATAAGTATTGCTTCATAATACCATTGCCCTTTACATTGAGTGCTAATCGGGACGTGGTGGTACTGAGAAAAGCATTTAGTGGCTTTTTTTTTTCTGATAGTGTTGTAGTTGTGAATCATCTTTGTGACGAACAACAAAGAGACCGAAACACTGTAGAAAAGGAGGAAAATGGTGAGAACTCCCAAATAACAAGGTAAAAAATAAAAAAAGACTGGAAATCTTCTGTTTTTTCACCTTTTATCATCATCGATTTGAAGCAATGGCGTCAGGTTCTTCTGTCCTGTGAGCAGCGATCGAGAAGATGAAACGAGACAATAATGTTTCACTCGATCTTTTAAAGGGACAATGCAGGCCACTTTAGAAATTGTTAGGGATATTTTTGACATTATGATAATGTCTAATGTGTTTGGAAATTAAGTAGGTGGCTCATGATAATGTCTAATTGTGTTAACTAGTCATGTTTGAAAATTATTTGGGGTTTGAAAGTAATCCCAAAAATAGATGTTTTTTTTTTCTTTGAAGAGCCATGCATAACAGCATCCCCATTGGGATTGGAGCCTATTGCCTCATACCAGGTATGGATGATAAGGTGGCATTTGATAAATCAGAAATCTTGTCTAAAAAATCAATAAACTATTTTGTCTCTGAAGTCTGAAAGGTGGCAGAAATGCTTTCTTGCCTTTCAGATGCTTTGAAAAAATAAGATAATTTGAGTTGGAGCAATTCACTAATGTCTCTAAAACTATGAAATTTACAATTTTACCCTTAGAAATAGACTGTTTTTGAACCATGAAATTACTGAGGAATACAAGAATACACGTCTAGCTTTGAAATGGGTGGGCTACTAGTTTTGAACCATGACATTACAGAGGAATACAAGAATACAAGTATGCAAATTGAAGAAGGCAACATATGGGCTGAAATAATCTCTTTGGGCATGGTTTGGCCACTTCAATAGTATGGTGCAAGAGTTTGGGTTGAAGCAATTCCATGTTGATTATCCTGTGTTCAGTCATAACATTATAACTGTGGATATTGTGTTGGTGGTCTATGCTAATGATATTTTAGTCATAAGGTATGATATAGCCATATAGGTGGTATCAAACAGCTTTCCACACCAGGACCTTGGATAATTAAAGTATTTCTTGGGCACTGAGGTAGTGCGGCCTAAGAAAGGCAGTAATCTCTCTTAGAAAAAATATGTATTTGATCTCGTTGAAGAGTATTTGAAGACCTTGGGAAGTGCAGAAGGTTGGTTGAGAAGTTGAATTATCTTACCATTACTCAACTTGATATTAAGGGGCCATTACTTGGTGTAATGGTAAAATCTCAGGCTGCAAGGTGTGAGAAAGTGGGCTTGAGTCTGAGAGTGCTTCTTTATGTGAGAAAATGCCAAACATTAAGATTGTACCCAATAGGGGTGAGCAAGAAAAACTGAAAAACCAAAAAACCGAACCGAACCAAAATTCCCGGTTAACCGAACCAGTTGGTTCGGTATTTTTAAAAAACCAAAGGTACCAGTTCAGTTTCAGTTAACCAATATAAAAACCAGCGGTTAACCAAACCGACTGGTATACAAATATTTCTATATATTATATGTATATTATATATATTTTTCATATATATTTTATATTAACCATATATTACAAATTAATGAATATGCATTATATATATTTACAAAATATAATATATTATTTATTATTTAAAATATAATATTTTATATGTATTTATAGTTTTTATTATATATTTATTTATAATATATTATAAATATAAAAAACCGAACCAGTCAACCGGTTAACCGATCGACTTCAGTTTGGTTTTGGTTACCGGTTCGGTTTAAAAAATAAGCCCATGGTTCGGTTAACCGAACCGTGAGCACCCCTAGTACCCAATCTACCACTCCCAACAGTTAGTGTTTTGAGCCAATTCATGCAAAATCCTTGAGTACCTTACTGGTAAATGGTTATAAGGGTATAGAGGTATTTGTAAAGTGTGCCAAGACATGGGCTATTATATACTACTAGGAAGGACTTGAAACTAGAAGGATATACCTATATAGACGGACTAGATCATCATCAAATAGACGGTTGGCAACTAGAAATTGTACATTCATAGGACATAATTTGGTGACGTGGAAGAGTAAGAAGTACAATTGCCACATTACCTCAGCGAGATTAGGATCCCTATCACATAGCCTGTAAAGCTATTCTATGATAACAAGGCAACTGTACACATTGTATCCGACCTAGTGTTTCATGAAACAAAAAAGCACATTGAAGTTGACTACCACTTTGTACAGGAAAAGGTTCTAAGTGGAGAAATTTCTATGCCCTATGTGAAGCCTGAAGTTGCCAATTTATTTACTAAAAAGATTTATAGAAGTAGAATGGACTACATTTGTAACAAGCTGGAGTTATAGCTTAACGGGAAGTATTAAAATTTATGATTAGTTGGGCATGTTAAGTCATGGGTAGTCTAAACATTTCCCATGTTTAAGCAAGGGTACAATTGTCTGACTCCTTTTATAACTTTAGGGTCAGATCTGTTTGTCTTTATTTTAATACTCTATGCATATCACACTAGCGGTGGGGACTCAATTAGTGTCTCCACCAAACTGGAGAGGAGTTTAATTCTTTCTTGCTGTCTACACTCTCTTTTTCTCTCTTCTCTCTATTCTTATGCTTTCTGCTTAAGTCTGAATCATTCTTATAAATATTATTAATGTGCACTAGATTAGGCCTCAATCAACATATACTTGGTCCTCCACTCTAGCAATTTATGGCTTTCATTGCCTTTCAACAAGACAAAGCCCAACTTAAGTTTTTTCCTCCTTTAATTTTTCCTGTTCTATCTTCCTGTCTGAATTTGATAATGCTTTGGAGAGTGAAATGAAATTGTTGTTCTTTTTAACAGTAAAAGGAAACTCAATTCAATAAGAAAACTAGTCTGTTCTACCTTTCTCTTTGCATAGGCTCTCCTAAATGGATGAAGTGTCCATGTCAGACATGCGTTGGACTCTTGATAATCCATGGATTCTTGAAGGGCACTTCTGTTTCAGATTTTCTTTTTTTTTTCCCTTGTTTATTCAACATAAATGAACAGCTAATCTACAGACTGAATGTCATTTTTCCTATAAAACGTTATTAAGTAATAAAAACAATCTTTCAGACCTTTTTTTATAGGTTTATAATGTTAAAGTTTAAAAATATATGGCCTATTTTAAAAGTTGGTCCTTTTCTATAGACATGTCTGTGAATCCTTGTTTCTTTGTGTTGCAAAATCAGACTCCTGGACACGCATTGGATTCCAATTCCTATGTCTGTGTTAATGTAACATTATAAGAAACTAAAATTTTAATATTAAGTAGAAGATCAAAAGGATAGGCTAATAATACAATTTTTTAGTTTAAATCTTGAATTACAACTAAATATAATATAATTCAATTGCCAGTAACAATGCACTAGCATCTGAAACAAAAATCAGTGGTATGAACAAATATGTTGCCTTACCTTGCAAACTGGAATTTGTGGAAGATGGATTTATATTTAGCTGCTATTGGACTGAGAGCTGTAGAACTGAAGGATGGGAATATGGGACTGGTGACCCTTCACTGCTCTGGGATTCTCCCCTCCATGCATCTTGAACCTGAGATGCAAACTGAAGGTTCCACAAAACATCCTCAATTGAGGGTCTATCTATCAGTTCTTTAGACAGGCACCTTATGCAGATCTCAATCACTGTCCTCAAAGATTCATCTGAACATGTCTTGAGATTTTCTGCATCAACTATGCTCCTTTGAGCAGCATCATCAGATGCAATACTTATTTGTATCTGCAGGAGAATGATAAATTAGACGAGTAGGAACAAATCATGAAGCTTCATATGCATGGAATTTACTGACATAATATCAATAGTTTTTCTTGACCATTCTAACATGATATCAGTGTATTTAATGAAAATTTTCAATTTTGGTCATACTCCAGGATAATCTAAAAAATTAGATTAGTAAAATGTATTTTTCCAACATATTACAAAGGTTTAAAAAATGAATGATGCTTTTTCACGTCATAAAGTATCAAGGTAAAGAAGAAGAAGAATATCTGCATGGCAAAATAGTTGCTTCCCATGGTTTAAGATGAAGATTTGTAACTGTTGAGTTTTGGGCTGATACAACATGTTTTTTTATTTACATAGCATAGTTAGGGAGTTATTGGGCCTTAGGCCCATTAGTTTATCTTTTAAGTTAAGAATGTTTTTAAGTTCTCACAAGTAGCTGACTTACTAAGGACATACTTGTCTTTGTACTCTCTTTTATTTATGAGTATATAATCTAATGAAAGGGGCGGCCGGACCTAATTCTGAGCTTCTCCCATTCTCTTCTACATCTAATCTCTCTCTTTCTTAGCTGAAACCTTTTCTCCTCTTTCTTTTCTTCTTCTTTTACAGTTTTTATATCAAAACAGGTTGTCCAAACCTTTCTATTGTAACTAATGTGCATTCATGCAGTACCAGTTTCAAAATCTGACATGAACAAGCTCGGTGAACCTTAAGAACTAGGCTGTGGACTGAATGGTGAATTTTAAATACTTGTAACAAAATTAATAGTTTTCATATTAATCAATAAGCATTATATTGAATGTAATAGTAGTGCATTTATTTTATAGGTTTTGCAACATACTCAGGGACAAAAACATAACTAAATGCAAGTGCCATGTTATTTACCTAGTTATTTTCTTCAGTGAAATTGAAATCAGTAGTTATTTTTAATAATTAAATGTAGCTAGAAACTCGCTTTCTTGTCTAGACTAGCCAGCAGAGGTAATACATACAAATAGCATCAAATTGACCATATAATGCAGGAAATCAATATTTTAGAATTACAAGTGAACCCCCAGGCCCTGGCATTCCCCAAAGACATCCTTGTATGGATACTCCTGCTCTAGAAAACCTGCCAGCTAGGGTATTAGCTGATCTAGGGATCCACCTGAACGAGTAGTTTAGATTGGTTCCAATGGATTTGGCTTTCCTAACCGAAGTTATAAATCTCCACATTGGTTCCTCTTCTGAAGTAAGCTAGGAAATAACAACATGACAATCTCCTTCTGGTAGTATGTTTCTCCAGTTTTGTTGTCCTATCAGCTTGAGACCTTGGATTAAAGTCATCAGCTCTTCTCTCAAGGAACTTCCAAAGCCAACAGTACCAGAGAAGCCCAGCATAACAGTGCCTCTTTGTGCCTTACCACCCCTCCCACACCACTCACCCGAGTTGCCTAAACAGCACCCATCAAAGTTAAGCTTCATTCTATCAGAACCCATCAGAACCCAATGTGCAATTTTTATTTTAATTAGTTCAATTAGATTTTCCACTTCTTGTTCTTTGTTTTCAAACAAACTTGCATTTCTCTCCTCCAAAATGCTCCACAGTTCAGCTGCTCTTGTATTATGCCATAACAATTTATTAGATGTCAACTTTTTGGAAGTACAACCAAAAGAATGAAGAAAATTAAAAGCTGAAGTTGGTGAACCAGAATCTGTGGAGTGCTAGGAACTGAGAGAAGTATAAGTACTTGATAGGCTGACCCAGACAGCCTTGAAAATTATGCCATAACAATTTTTTATGGCATAACTATCAAGTATAAGTACTTGATAGGAACTGAGAGAAGTATAAGAAAATTATGCCATAACAATTTTTTATGAAATGCTATAATTGGTATGTAGCTAGGTTAGAGGCTCATAGTAGTAGCCAAGAGTGGTAAAATAATGGAGAAGGATTTTAGGATAAAGGTTTAATAGGCTGACCCGGACAGCCTTGAACCAGTGTGTTTGGCATCTTACCTTAGAACTCTAATTTGAGATTGGAGCTACACCCATAGTTAAGAGATGTTGCACCTTTGAGGTAGTTTATGGAGTCACACCAAGGCACAAAGTGCTAAAAGCAATTTCTGTTCACTTAATTGACTGCAGAAAACAACCAAATACATCTATATATATAGTCTAAACTCTCTTGCATTATGTTAAATTCAAGCATATTTAGTGATTGGACTAGTCAGCTAGTTGTCCAATTGCCACATTACCTCAGCGAGGCCTATACGATTAGTCATCACCTCACTGGATTGACAATCCTGGTGGAGTGCCAAAATTTGTTTGTTGATTGTTGCTTGGTGCCCAATACCAGGTGTTAACATTGGTGTCCAAGCACCTGGATCTATTAGTCTTAAGGAATCTACATAACTATGCCTATTGTATTTCAGATTCTTGATTTTCAATAATCCAACCAAAAAGGAAAATATATTAGGCAAGTTGGAAGATAATTGTGAAGGAATTCTTTGGGTCAGGCCTCTTGATTTAGGAGAATATCAACTAAATGGAAAAATTTTGAAGCATTGGAGCTTATATTTAATCAATCTTGTAAAAAAGTTACAGCATTCTAGCATACCATCATTGAAAGTACATCTAGGAATGTATTTCAATTTGTGACAGTTCATTGAACGGCAGCTAAGGTATTGGTTATAACAATTAAGGTATTTGAAATAAGAAATCCTTTAGAAGGTGGTTGAGGTTGTAAAACTAGCATACAGCATACAAGTCAGGATTCACATGCAAATGTAAAAAGGCCATTACCCAAAATTGGTACCAGCAATCTAGGTAGGGGTGCAAGTCAGGTACCCAACTTCCAGAATTTACACAGGATTGGAATTGGGTCCACTCAAATTTTAACTGTTTGAATAAGGATTTTACAATATTATAATGTGTGATATACGACATCAAGTTATCACGGGTAATGCCATAATTTCTGCATTCTAATATATAATACAATGTGTGGGAGAGAGACCCCTTAATTTGAATGCTAAAATTCTCCTCTCTCAACCTCTCTTCTTTCCCTTCTATTTTTTTTTTTCATTCTTTCTTTTACATACCTCTACTTGGTATCAGAGCCATGATTGACTAGTCAGTTGCATTCCATCTTGTGGTATAAATAAGATCTGGCTTCCTGGGGGAGAGGGGAGAAAGTAATTCATTCTCTCCTCTCTATTTTCTCCTTTCTTTCTCTCTTCTTTTCCCCTCTTTCTCTCCTTTTTTTGATCAATAACAGTAACTTTCCATTAATAATAAACAGAATTAATTACAAGGAAGGGGAGATAAACTTTCTTAACTCCCCGGGTTGGGCAGGAGCCCCCATAAAAGCAAAAGAAGAAATTACAACTTTGCCCAAAATAAAGAATCCCGAGCCACCCCTTGCTTAGCTAACCCATCTGCAAGAGAGTTTAGCAGAACTCTTCACCCAGCTGTACTTCACTTCCATCCCCTTTGTTAGCCACTTGTAGTTTTTTATTTTCATTGCTGAAGTTCCACAACCCCGCCTTATCCTATTGTAGCCATCCTACTACCACCTGCAAGTCACCTTCAACCACAAGTTTCCTTGTATTCAACTCCTTTGCCTTTCTTATTCCCTCCAGAACCACAAAAATCTCAGCCCTGAGGGAGTGGCCTACCCCTATAGGGCCTGAAAACATAGCTGAAATAACCCCTTTCTCATCCCTGAAGACTCCCCCAATACCAGATTGTCCAAGGTTCCCTCTATTGCTGCCATCAAAGTTCAGTTATACAAAACCATTAGGGGGAGGGGTCCAAGAAGGACTAGTCCCTGTTCTAATCTGAGCAGCATTTGCAATCTCCTTCCAGTTTCTCATCAAGTCATCCAGAGTAAAGTCAGTAAGAAGATCTGAAGTCTTTAACCACTGTGCTGCCCTTAAGTGAATCACCTCTATTACGGTTCCAATACTCCTCTCCTTATCTGATAAGATCCTTGAATTCCTTTCTTCCCACAATGTCCAACACACAGCAGCCCTTATGCATCTCCACATGGCCCTTCCTCTTCTCAAATACCACCTGAAGAAGGATGAATAAAACAGAGTTTGCACAAACATAGGGGGGTTCCCTCTCCTCCCAAAAAGAGAAAAAACCCAGTCCCATATTGTTTTGGCAAAAAAGCAAGCAACTAAAAGGTGATAACCAGTCTCCCCATCAGCTTTCCAGAGAATACACCAGTGCAGGGATAAGCAAATCTTGGGTCTTTTTCTTTGAAGCAAATCACCAGTGTTGAATCTTTCCAAGAAGGCTTCCCAACAAAAACTCCCAACCCTTGGGGGAATAGGCTTACACCAGACCTCTTTCACAGGGAAGGAAGAGCCAATGGAACTATAAGGCTTGAGTTAAGCTTTGGAAAAAGGAGGCACAAGAAAAATAGCCCGAAGAGGAAGAACTCTCAGGGGCTGAATCAATCACACCACCCGATGGCCCTTTCCTAATCCTATGAACATGTTTCACCCTCTTTCCGTGCTTTCCTCTCTGCTATTGACAGTGTTTCCCTTCCTAAGAGTGTTGCAGAAGCTTTACTTGCTCCTGAATGGACGGATGCAATGAAGGAGGAGATCAATGCCCTTCACAAAAATGGCATGTGGGAGCTGGTAGATCTTCCTGAAGGAAAGGAACCTATGGGGTGCAAATGGGTATTCTCTGCGAAACATAAGGCAGATGGCACAGTGGACAGGTACAAGGTCCGGCTAGTTGCAAAAGGTTTTTCATAGGTGTATGGAGTTGATTATGCGGAAACCTTTGCACCTGTAGCAAAAATGAATTCTATTCGAGTCCTCCTTTCTTTAGCAGCAAATCTAGATTGGGAACTTCATCAGTTGGACATTAAAAATACTTTTTTGAATGGTGACTTAGAAGAAGTGTATATGATCCAACCTCCAGGTTTTCGTGCTAAAGGAGATGAGTAAAAAGTATGTAGACTGAAGAAATCTTTGTATGGTTTAAAACAGTCTCCA